CCTGAGGATTAAAAAAGACCATCAGCTACCACTGGGTCATCCAATGAGTCTGCAGAATTAGAACAGAAAAGTTACATACAGGCACAAACTATTTGTGTTTTTGTGGTCCCTTGCAAGGAAGGACCTATTTATTATTTCTGTTCTCCTTCTGCAGATTTCTATATTCTGAAGGTTTTCCTTTAATATGCCATTTTTAACATGAGATTTTAAGAGAATGTTTTGAACTTTTTAAAGGCACATCTTTACATTTTCTTAGAACCTTATGAAATGGTAATGACATTCATGAACAACAACATATTCTTCACAATCAGGGTCACATTCTTTCATTAATCTAAAGTTAAAAGACTCTTCACTGTCTTAATGGCAATGTTATTTTTGCCTTTTATATCCAAGATCGAGGCCTGAGCTTCAAAGAAGGAATGCATAACAGACGGTAAGAAAAATGCAACTTATAAATTTTTAAACCACACCATCCAAATTCAATGCAATTACCATCCTGGAGGGAGCTCCTCAATGGAAGGCAAAGCAAAACATGGTTGCATGACCCAATAAGCAAATCAGCCTCAGGCAATAAGCTACCGGTGGGAAATAGGAGCAAGCTGTAGAGTCCTCTGAAACACCCACCCCAGGGTAACCCATCCATGATCAATTCTGGGAATTCAGAAGTTGTAAAAACTTTCCTGGTCTAAATTTTGCATTTTAGAGGATGTGATTTAATGGACGCTGCTTCAGGCTAAGAAAATTCTCTGTTTACCATATACCTGCAGCTAAAGATTTAGCTCCTTAGTTCAAACGCATAATGTGATTTCAGCCCTGCAGCTCATAGCCACATTTATACCTTTTTCCTCTGTCCATCTTCTCTCAAGAGTCTTACCCCTGGCCCTCTTTCTCTCTTGCATTCTCCTAAATTGTCTCCGCTTCCCATTTTCATTCCCAGGTCCCTATTTGTTTTGCTCCTCACTTCTTGGAACACTCCGCCAGCAGCTCCACCAGCTCCACAATGACCTTCAGAGCTGCTAGGCCGCCACCACCAATCATGGGCATCTCTCTGGCAGACAGACAGCCAAGCAAATCTCTGCTAGAGACTTTTTGTCACCAAAGCCACAGCAGCATCCTTTGTGCATAACAATGTGTTTTGGGGCCAAACATACACTGCATTGTGGTTCTCATGCAGAAGGGATGTTGAGAACTACTTTGAATTTCTTTCTTTTTTAAAAAAGCAAGATACAACTAATCTTAACTGAAATACATCCATAAAGGATACTGGGAATTTCTGGTGGCGAGTTGCAGGCTCACTATTTCTATAAATATATTTGATGTAAACACCTAGAGGACTCTGGAATGTTTGAGAAAATTGTGTGTCCTCATAATGGAAACAGCTGAAAAATGGGTCATGTAACATAAGAGCATTCACACAAGTTACTCAGCTGGAAAAATGGCAAGAATGGGAACAATTAAGGCCCTATGGGCAAGTGGAAACCTGGTATTGAGTAGCTGTCTCAGAAGCATTGCAATCATTGCTATAAATTAAAGTCTAATACTCCTCTCTATGTCTTTACAGAAGTCTAATAATACTAACAGAGATTAACTAAGGTATGCATTTTTCCCCTTAGATGTCTAGAATACTTTTATCATTATTTAATCATCTTTGTAATGTTACAAGTCTAGTTAGCTATGTGAAAAAAGAAGACAGGTTTCTTAGCCAGAGAGCACAACCTCCTAACAAATAAAAACAAGTAGCAACCTGATGCTTAAAAGGAGGAGAGGAAAATGTGCATTGGCCAATGCATTTCTACAGATGTGACGGTTTGTCTGACCTGGACATGTTTAAACTGCCTTCCAAAAAATGACTGCTTGTTGGGAAAGACAGATTTGTTTCCTAAGCTGTGTTGTAAAATTCAAATGGTATTACTGGTAGCTCACTCTCTGGTGAGAGATTTCTATGATGGTGAGGGAAAAAGAAAAAAAATCCCTATAACAAACCTTTAAAAATAACTTGGAGCAATTACACCCTGCAGTTTCTTTAGTTCTTGTACCAAAGTATTGCCTTGCATAGTTTCTTTCACTTCTGACATTTGCTCGGTTTGAAACCAGAAGTCAGCACATTTGGTTGATGGACAAAGTAATTCAGAGTAAGTGATTAGAAACAAGATTTTCCTACTAAGCTGCAGAAGGAATTATTTTTGTCTCCAATTTTATATACCTCTAGCTGTCACAATTACATACCTACTTGACAACAGACTGAAGACAAGGTATTACCAGCTGCTCAAAAGGACATGGAACTAAGTTGTTAGCATAATTTGAATTCCTATAGATTAAGCATATGAGATTTAAGGAAATAAATAACCCATTGGCAAGAGTAAACTGTGCAACAAGCCAGTAATGAAAAACAGCTGCTTTGACCTACAAAAACTCTCCCCATACCCCACTTGCTGTAATGTGGGGCGGGGACTTACAACTTGCTGAGATATGACATATGTGGCATGAAAATCTGCTCTGTGAAAGCTCTAATACACTGCAGGGCTCCACATGGCTTCTGCTTGTTACTGCAGCCTCTGGGGTTGCTGTACATCCGCACTGTGGACAAGTTCTACCGAAAACATGGTGGGTGCTGCCTGTCAGAGTTCTGCCAGCCTCCAAACCTTATCAGTTCGAGACTGGCTCAGTCTCAAGTTAACAAAAACATTGGAATGGTTTGGCCCCTTGGGCAGTGCTGACCCCACCACTTGGCAAGAGGACAGCGGCATCGGAATGTCCCACCGGTCCTTCTAGACGTTCTCCTCAATTGGAGGAGAGATCTGCATCTGCCACACAGCCTGGCCTGGGCCCTCCAAAGTAGCCTTCTGCCTCAGACACAGTGGAGGCTGTTTCGCCATGAGCCATGACAACCCTCTGTGGCAGGTCCTGTTGGCCTGCGTATGCAGAAGGAGAAAGCATCCTGTTGGCCATGTGACTTAGGCCAACCCTGCCTAACTATCTACTTCCAGACTGGACTGTCTATCTGCAAATGTGTCACCCATGCAGACTAGCACATTTAAGATGTTATTGTCAAGCAAAATTCTGAAATATTTTGGAACCCACTTGATCTTACTTTCAATGACCTTTGACCATTTTTAAATGACATTTCAGCTAGTTGTGCATAGTTATTATTAAAAAATCTTGATAGGTGCATAGTCAGTGCATCACTATCCTATACAACCCAGTTATGTCAAAAGTGTATTATATTATTGATATAAATTGCGCAAAGTGATCCAATTACCTACATCTAGTAGTCTCCCTCCCAGATTCTGGAAAAACATTGAACTACCTTTTATCTCTGATGCTCAGATCACACACACCAAGACAGACAGACAACATCAGCAGTCAACTTGATGGGGCAAATGATGTGGACCATGGACCACAGAGGATCCACCCAGGCTGACATTGAGATCCCTTTAGCTGCATGAAGCAGCTGCAGCTGCCGCCATCTTAATTTGCCCAGAATATCTTTAGGACTCAGTGCATAAGTCTGAGGCATTCTGATGAAATTGAGATGGAGGTTGTGGCAGCAGCTGCTTCCACTAGCATTTTTCTTACCAAGTGGTAGTAGACACCAGTGAGTCAGACACTATCTGTTCCCACCAACACCCACCTCTCTGCTCCCTGGCAAACTCATTTACATCTTGCTTAGGCCTTCTGAAACCAGATGCCAGTCCTGCCAATTTAAAATCCCATGAATGGAGAAATTACTATTGCCTATTTTCTTGTTGAAATTAGTGACTTTGCATACCAGTTCATCTGTTGTGATCTAAGTGGGGACAGTTATCACTCCTTTGTCCCCTTCCCAGAGGACAGGAAGAATCTCAACTTGGGAAACCCGATATTAAAGCATGTGTGAATTTGCTCAACCCTGTGGATTATGCAAAAATTATTTAAAAATAAATCTCCACGTTCTATCATAAAAAAGAATTGCAGTCTAAATGAGATATGTCAGACAAAAATGTTTAGTATTACTATGCAGAAGATCAAGTATACAAAGCAATTTATATATATAATAGTAGGAATATGCATATATGATAGTATTAACTGCATTTCTTTCTAAACACTCCAGGCATGCTGTAAAATGTCCACCCTGTCTCCAAGCTTGCTATTTTTGGACTGCAACTCCCATCATCCCTGGGGCTGACCACTGCTGGTTGGAAATGCTGGGAACTGTTGTCCCAAACATCTAGAGTGCATCAGGTTGGGGAAGGCTGCTATACATTACAGGCCAGTATCATTAGCCCCTTTGTTTGTCTAAAGTCCCAGATGCCCAAGGTGAGATGACACTGGGGAAGGCAACTTCTGACACATCAGCTCAACAAAGTTCTCTGTGTTTTATGTTGAAACTGTATGCAAATCCTAACGTTTTAAAACAATGGCAAAACATCAAAAGAGATAAGCATAGATAAGTGTTCTCCATCACCTCCACTTTCTGGAGACAACAAACCTGGGAGCTGGAAAATGCTTTCATTCTGAAATGGCAGAAGCATGATCAATTTAGTCAGTTTAAGCCAACAAAATTGCATGAAGCTTCTCTAACTCCTCTTACATGCATCCTGAACATGAAATCAGCCAGGCCTGCTAGTCTAAGTTACAAGGATAAGAACGACTGCTTCAGTGGTGTGTGGAACGCAAGCAACTTGAGATATTTAGGGTTTGCATCCTTGTTACAGTATGTCACTCTAACAATCGCTGCAATCCTATACAGAGGTAACAGAGTGACTCCTAACACCGTGGTGCCCTGTGCTCTAAGTAAACATTCAATTGCAAGAAGTGTCCATTGATCTCTTTGGAAATGAGTTTTCTCTGTAATTAATACAACTCTCATCCATTCTTATATTACATTCACAATCCTTTCATTTCTTTATTCAGTAGGGAAAAGACACTTCATCTTCTTACTCCAAGAAAAAGAATGTGCTGCCACCCCTTCTTCAGTCTGTTACGAAACAAAAGCGGGTGCTTTGTAAGAGAGGATTTACCTGCACAGACAGTATCCTCCGCTTCATCCAGAAGAACCAGATCTTCCTCTTCCAGAGGCATCGTGGCCATGAGCAAGCTGAACAGCTCCTGAACCGAAAGCTGAAGCTTCTCTCAAGTTTACAGCAGGGCTATTTCCTTCCACAGGCTTCGGAATATTTTGGCAGGGGTAGTGTCAGTTTCCGCATGTGTACAACTACAACAGCCTCATTTGCATGAACATAGTAGCTTCCCCCTCTCTCCCCACCCTCGTGAGCTTTTGAGGTTCGAGGTGAGGCATTTCTCCTTGTGCAAAAGGACAAAAATGGATTTAGAGATGCAAATAGTTGAGCCTCAGAATGAACAGTGAATTAATTTCACTCTGCTAATCCACTTTTAAAAGGCCCTAGAGAAAACAGCTCTAGAGAAAAGAGCTCAGTTACATAGTTACTGCATTGTTTAGAAGAAAATGGTTTGGATATACAAATTTTGTATTTCCATACTAACAGCAATATTTTGTCTTTCATGTTCTGCAAAGTTCAAACACTTGCACATATTCAGAAAGAAATTCTCATGTGTATTAACCACATGTAAGTCCTGTTCACATGGAAAGTGTGTCTAGGTTGGAAATTATCTGCAACTTCCCATATGCAGTAGCAGCACTGCTTGAATTTTTAACAGCATCAAAATATGCTGGGAAGCCATGGCCAATCATATGTACTTGCCATGAAAAGCCTGTGAACACCATTGTCTAAATATGGGTTGCCAGTTATTTCCTACAAGGAAATGGAGCCCAGTTCTTATGAAGGAAAATAAATGAAACCTGCAGGAAAGCAGAGGTTTAATTTTTTAAAAAATAGGGGGTTTTGCTCCACAAGAACTGCCAGAATAGTTTGCTCCATGAGAACTGCCTTGCATGGTGAGACCATTTATTCAGGTAAGAATCTCTTGTTCTTCTCCTTATTCCATAATACTTACTGGGAGCTCACAAAAAGGGCTCACAAAAAGGGCTTTCTCTACTTGCTTGGAGCCATTTTCTGGTGGTCAAAATTAAGAACATAAAGGTTCTATTAGGTATCTCAAAATATTGCAAAGTTTATTGCATTTTTATTTCTATATTTTACTATATTTTTGTATATCACCTAGAAAGATGATTGAAGAGCAATATACATGGCTACAGACCCACTTCTGTCTCTAGTTTGCCAACCAGTGGCAAACCACAGCTTGTCAATCCATACATTGCACTAAAGCACAGCCAAGCTTGCTTAATTAAGTCTTGCTTGCACCACAGCCTAAACTGCTTGGGAATTCTAATCACATGCTGTGGTTAGGATTCCCACGGGATTCCCCCTGTGCCTGACAGAGGATGGGGCATAGGAGGATAGGGAGCTTCCTCCTCAACCCCTGGTTTTCCTGTGGGCACCCCAGGCACACTGCAGGAACAGTAAGGGCGCTGGGAATGACAGCTGTCTCAAAGCGTCCAACCAAAACCTTTGCTGGCTGTCACTGCACTCCTGCTTTTCTGCTGGGGAAGAAAGGTTGGTGCCATGGAGCAAAGGGGATGAATGTGCCTCCTCTCCTCCTCCCAGCCTGCCACCCATGTGGTGCGAAGGGATGGGGTGCACCGGCCTGGCAGGGGAAGAGGTGCGTCGTCCTGCTGCCCTTACTTGTGGTGCTCATTTGGGCCACTACAACTGAGGGCATTGCAGCTGGCCTAATGTAAGCTTGGATTCGACTCTAAGAAGCCGACCAGAGCAATTTGTTCCCCTCCTTCCTGCCACTGTTGCTCCTCTTTCTGCTGTGCCAGCAGCAATCAGGAATGAGCAGCCTGGTGCTGGCCTTGCACTGGGGCAGCTCACGTCCCCCCACCCTGGCAGAGCTGCCGCCCAGCTGAGAGGGGGCTTGCTGGGCGATGGACAGGGAGGAGACATGGAGGCGGGCAGAATGCAGCCACGCAGCCTTGCTTCCTCCAGAGGCAGTGAAGCCCGGCAGCTCCTTCCGCCGCCTCACAACGCTTCCCTAGCCCCCAAGCAATCCTGATCTCCCAGGACCAGGAGGAGCATGGAGGAGGGAGGCTAGAGACAGCCGCATCTGGGGTTGCTTGGACACTTTGCCGGCTGCCATTGTCTAGAGCAGGGGTCCTCAAACCTTTTGAACAGGGGGCCAGTTGGCAGGTGTTAGCAGTGACTGCAGGCCACCAAGGTGGTGCTGGTGGTTGATGATGGTTTATTGTGTCATATGAACCCAGTCAGTGATTTGGAGCCGAGTTTGCCAGCACAAACCATCCCGCCTCAACTTGATGCTCGTTGACACTTTCCTCCTTACAGCGCTCAGTTTTTCCCATGCATTTAAACTGTTTCCTCATGCACTGCTTTCAAAGCATCACATCCGGATGGCAGCTCCCTTGACAGTGTCGTTTCTCTTATTTTCACAAATTAAAAAGCATCAAAGGGCTGTTTTCTTTTGAGAAAACAACTGTCACCTAAATGAGCACACAAAAGAGCCTGGTACTGAATAATAATGCTCTACTTCAAAGGCCCCTAAGAGCAGTCCCTCCCATGCCCCCCACTCCGGTTTCACCACTTAAATATCAGGCTCACCTGCAGCACAAACAGCCTGTGAAGCACCTCACAAAGGGATCTGGCCGCTGTGTGTGTATGTGGAATGTGCGAGGCCTTTAATGGGGATGAAACTGCTTCCCACGTGAAAATTATCAGCATTGTTTAGAATTGGTCTGCCTTCTTCTTCATTCTGTTTATTTTATTAGGGACTTGACCTAATTTGTATCCTGGTTAAAGTTGTTTTGTGTGTTACCAAGTGATTTTGCTGTTTCCAGAGTGCTCGCAAACCACGTTTTTTTATTTCTTTTCTTCCACTTCAAGGATTTGAAGTACAATTACCAACTGCAAATTGTGCAATTACCAACCCATATTTGTACTCCCAAGTCTTTGTCACCAGCAGTGAAGCTTCCATCTAAAATATGGGTTGGCATTTTTGACCCAGCCCTTTTTGGCTTCGGCTCTGTTTATCACTGGAATGTGCCCCCAAGGAACTTCTTTGACATAGAGTTCGATGCTTTGGCTGGAGGAAATACAACACTCCTGCTTTAAGAAGAAAGAGAAGGCGAGATAAAGATGAGGAAAGGAAAAAGTGGGTCCTCTTCTCTGTGTATAAGAAAATTATTCTTTTCTGCTTTCTTTGTATCTAGGCAGAGACTTCTGAACAAACAGAACGGTTCCATCTCTCCTTGCTGGTCAAAGCAATAAGAAAATTCAGAAAACTCATGTTAACTCACTTGAGTGATTGGAACAATACTTTATGTCTCAACACACTCTGCATGCACACATGGTACATATATTTACAGGAAACAAATGAACACACAGCAATAAAAGAAACATAGGCAAAAGCAAATATTTCGAGCATCTAGGTTTACTTATGAGAAGTAGAATCCGATTATTTGCAGGTACCAGTGCCAAAGATATAACACTAATGCAACCAACATTCCTTCCAAATAACAAGTGCTTGCTAGTGTAATATGGAAAAGTGGCAATTTGCCACCAAACTTCAGTTGCAAATCACCGATTTTGTCATTTGCCCTAGCAAGCGGTAGTTACATTGGGTACATCACTGTGTGTGTGTGTGTGTGTGTGTGTGATTTTCAATGTGAATTTCAGAAGGTTATAACAAAACCAAAAACAATAAAGAAAAAGAAAAAAAAATAGATTGCACAAAGGGTAGGTATATCAGTTGTAAGCAATATATAGGGAATCTATACACCTATATATTACATGTGTATAAGGAAATATACTACTGGCAATAGAAGTAATTATGTATAATTTATGCATAATTTTCTACAAATTAGAGATATTTTTTCTACAAATTATCTACAAAGGCAAGCCATACACCCATGTGTAGGCGGCATCTAAATACCGCTCTGTCACACTGCCAACAGATAGCTGACTAAGACAAGCCTTTACTGAAGGGATGTTGTGGCATCCAAAATATACTGAACAGAAGCTTTTTGTGGATAAGATGTAACCCAAGATCCACTGACACTTCCAAAATGGATGTTAATGTGGCTTTCCATTAATTAGGCAAAATAGTGCAGTCTAAATTGCAATGAAGAAGAAAAGAATTTCTGTTGGGTCCAGAAGGCTGTAAACACCTCCTTGAAAGAGGGAGTAATGCCAGCCTCTTTAAAAGAGACTTTAGTTAAACCACTCCTGAAAAAGCCTAACCTGGACACAGAGGATATTAATAACTACAGGGCAGTGGCTAACATTTCCTTCCTGGGCAAGGCACTCGAGTGGGTGGTGGCTGAACAGCTCCAAGCACTCTTGGATGAAACGGACTATATAGATCCATTTCAATCAGGCTTCAGGCCTGCTTTCGGAATGAAAACTGGCATCGTTGCCCTGTGGGATGACCATTACTGGGAGAAAGACAGGAGGAGTGTGACCCTGTTGGTTCTCTTGACCTCTCAGCAGCTCTCGATACCATCAACAATTATTGCCTTCTAGATAGGCTGGCTGGGCTAAAAGTAAAAGGCACTGCATTGTAGTGGTTCCACTCCTACATAACATATCCTAACAGAACATATCTTCCATGGTTTCCTAGAAGAAAAGGACTCCAAAGACCCCTTCACACATTAAATTCCTCGCTCCCTCCATGCATTAATTGAGAACAACGTGCTCAGTTAAATGGGAAATAGGTGTTTTGTGTCTACTCATGTCCATTATGGCGGCCATGTTGTGAGAGTGCCCACACATACTCTCCAAATTCTAAATGTACCCAACGACAAAAAGCATTTGGGAACATCTGCCCTATGCAGTTCCTAGGGAAAGGTGAATAAGGAATTCTTTCTAAAATAAAAAGCTACAGATTCTCTGAAATGCAGTATATTACTTCTTTCCTCTTCTGCTTCCAGATGGCAGCTTTCATTTGTGCCAGCACAGCAGATCCACAGCTGAAAACAGGCAGAAACATTTGCATTCATGTGGAACATTGCATTCAGTCCTCTGTGAAGTGTAACATTATTAACAGACAGGGTACTCCAGAAACTCACATGAGCATATGCACATGAAAAAATATCATTTCCCTGAAAGTTTGCAGATTATTCACTTCATAGATACATAGTGGAAAGCTGCTCTAGTAGCT